TGAACAAACAGTATGAAATCAAGTGTTTTTTTAATCATTTGCCTTCAAAAAATAATAATTAATAACTATTAAAGTATTATTAAATATTTGTTCTTTATACAGGGTTAACAAACTGTATAAAACCAACAAACCAACAATAATAATAAATAACAATTAAAGTACAATAAAAATGTGTTTTGAAAATGAAATCTTGTTTTGTTTTTAAATTATGCGATTTTTTTAATGGCAACTTAAATAAACATTTTTTTTTCAAAAAATTTGAATAAAATGTAGGTACATAATTGTAATTTTTAGATCACAGCCTTATATATTATATAAATATTATATAAGTGAGTTGCCATTTAAAAAAATAAAAAAATTTGCAAAAAAAAAAACAAAAAAAAAATCGAAAAATTTGATTGTTGACAAATACATTACATTTTTCTAGTTCCTTATTTATATTAGTTTTCTCAAAAAATAAATAGAGTTAAATGTTAAATGTCATAAAAACATATCAAATTTATTATACATAGAATTTTTTTTAACATTTTTCTCAAGCTACCTGTATATGAGCAGAAAGAGAACAGAAACTATAAAATCAAACGTTTTTTTGCTTAATTGAACTGAAACTGAAATAAATAGATTTAATTTGCAAATTGAAAACCTTCACAATTACAATTACAAATTACAAATTAATTAGAAATTAAATAAATACAATGTCTTAATATATTTAATTTTGCGCCACCTTGAATAAAACAGTTTTAATATTAAAATAAACACGTCACGTCTTCAAATTCAGAGCTTGTTAACCATAATAAATGAATTCAAAACAGTTGCTTGAAATTAATTAAGATAATCGACTTCTCACAACTAATCCATTAATCTTCCTTTTGACTTTTTAATCTCAGTATAAAAAATGCGAAACTTTCAGTTGCTTTCAAAATTACACACATTTTCTATAAATCGTAAAAATCCACCACTCACGATCTAAATAAGTGTTATATTTTTCGAGCATGAACAGGTTTAATCGCACCTTAATTACACATTTAGTCTCTTGTTAAACTAGATAACAATCAAGCTTCAAGGTAAGTGTCCAGTCAAACATTTTATATTTTTTTAAATTCGGTTATTCCTAATTAAAGTTGAAAATTTCCACGTGATGCAGTTCGAAATGCCATCGGAATTAGTAATCTTCTAGGATTTTATCACATTTCCGTGTCAAGGATATAAAGAGTAACAATAATAAAATATTGTTACGTCCCTTTAGATAGATTTGGTCAAAATTAACCACATTTTAATTTTACCTTGAACGTTTTAGAAACTGTTTAAATAAATAATTTTAGCAAATAACTCTATCATTTGATTCATTATTTGAGCACCTAAGTCCTCAACTGTCAAAACCTCCCATTGATCCTTAAATAGTTAACATTTCTCATTTCAACACTTTTCAGGTGCTCCTTATTTTTCAGTGTAAGAATGCTTTTATCCCTTTGATTGACCCATTCAGTGTGATGGAAGTCAGGATTAATGGTGATATCATCAACAATACACCATCAGTGGCATTCCTTAATAAACCGTTCAAAATTTGAGTACAAACCTATTAATCTAGCGCCAAAACTTTCATTTCAAGACGAGTCTCCAGTTCTTTTCTTTGATTGTCATAAAACAATATCTATTGTTAAACCCTATATTTGCAATACGCGAAAGAGAAATGTCAACTATTGTCCTTGACACTTTATAACTGGAATGAATAACTAGCAGTGCCGCCACAACCGTTCCTCAAGTACGGAATTGCCTTTCAAATGGTTTAATACCTGACAGTTGTTACTTCTGTTAAATAATATGATATTTTAGCCAATTATATTCTCGAGTGTCGTGGTTTCCGATTCTAGACTAGGAAATACAGTCACATAGTATTTACCAGTCTTACGTAAATAAATTTAAATTAATATTGCAAGTAATTTATATGATTAAAGATCATAATTAATTAGTGGTAGAGATTGATTTCTTGTAAAAATTTACACTTGGCATACGCCTTAATGACCTTGATGCTTGAACTCGTTTCTATTTTACAAATTGTAACAACTAAAAATGGCAATTTTCGACCACGACCTGATAAAAACCACGTTTCTTTATCATAATTGCATATAGCTGATTGATATTTAACGATGCGGCACTAAATTAGTCATTTTTTAACATAACCGAAACTGGTCTTTAATTGGAGGAGGCAATTAGAATGTTATTAAGATTATTTTTTTAACAGTTTTGTTGAAATCAAAGATTAGGGGAAAGATAGTTTTAATTAAACACTAATGACTTTTGTTTCAGCCAACAAATGACAATAACCCACAAGGATTACCCAACAATTTTTATCGCAAGATCAAAATTATTTTTTATCAGAAATAACATTTAAATTTCATTTTTTTCCTGCAACAATTCTTTTGTTCACATCAATTTTTATACAGGGCTAACCCAAAGTTCCATTTTTTCTTGATTCCTTTTTTTTTTTTCGAAAAAACTATCAACATTTCTGTTTGCAAAATGGCCCATAAACCCTATATTGTCAAAAAGCAATAAAAAAGAGTGAAAAAGTCGAGTTATTGCCATTTGTAATTTGTTATTTAAAAAAAAATGTAGTAGGCGATTGAACATTGACTCCAAATTTGCTTTTACCTCAAAAGATGCGTCAAAACTTAAGAAATCGACTGAAAAAAAGTTGGTTAAGTTATCTTAAATCTTTCTGAAGTTATATTTTTTTATTAAGAAATCGACTGGAAAAAAGTTGGTCTTGCATGATTCTGAGGTTGTAAATTTTTCTATTTTGACATAAATTGACATAAGTCAAAAATTATTGCAGATAAGTAAGAAACCAGATGCGTTATATTGATAATTTAGTAGCAAATTCAAAAATGTAACAAAACTTAAAGGTTTTTATTAAAAAAAAAAAAACAGAACTTAGTTGTGTATCTTTTTTGAGACGTCCAGCATTAAATAGAAATATTTTTGGAATGTACCTTATCAGCAGATTTAGCGTTAAAAAAATATACAGGGTGAATATAAAGTTTGGAACCAAGCGGTTTTTTTAAAATCATTAGTCTTCAGAAAATAATAATTAATATAAATTAACATAATATAAAAAATGAGATCGTATTTTGAGAACCAAATTTTGTGTTGTTTTTGAGTTATGCGATTTTTTTAGTCAAAATTGCAATTTATGAAAGAAAATTTAAAAAAAAATTAAATATGAAGTAGATAGTTATGATCCTTACATCATAACCTTTATGAGAAAAATAGTTTTATTGTGGGTTGCTATTTAAAAAAATATTTTTTTTGTAGAACTCAAAAACAAAACAAAAATTCGAAAAATTTTATTCTTGATAAAACATATCTTTAAAGTACTTTATCGTTCATCACTTAGTTTTTCCAAAAAATTAATAGTTTAAGCAAAAAACGTTTGGTTCCATACTTTTTATTCAACTGGTATGTATATACAGGGTCGCTAAGAAGTTTACATACAGCTAAATATTTTCAGAACGGTTTAGCAGACAATCTTGAAATTTGGGAAACAGTTAGAAGTCTTTAAATTCTATTATCTGAGATCTTTTTCAATTTTCTACCATCATTTATTTTGAAAAGACAAGGCTAACTTTATTTTTTTAATGGTACGAAAAGTCATATTTAATAATTTTTAAAAGAAGATTTTTTTTTAATTCAGTGATGTAACATAATGCACCTTTATTTTTATTAAAAGGTAAAAAAAATTATTCAAAAATGTAATTTTGGAAAAAAGCTTTGAAAATGCTGTTAATCCCTCACTTGCATATTAGCCAAAAATTAAACTTATGTGCTTATGTACTTATAATTAGTTTAACAGTGATACATTTAAGTGAAACTGAGCTTATAGAAATTCTTAAGTCAATGGAAATCATTTTGAATATTTTTTGTAGCATAAAAAATATGTATTTCGTGTTTAAGCTTTTTTAAATTAAAATGTGTTCTTTTTCAGTTAAAATAAATGTTATTTTAACAATTATTATTAACTTTTACTTATTTTTTTGGTAAAAGTTCAGGCGGCAAAGAGCTAACGATAGATTTCCAATGCTAACAAAATTTTACATTTCAAACGTTTATTAGTTCGATAATTATTTTTTAAGTTTTGTTTAAAACAAGATATGGTGTGTTACATCACAAAACTCATAAAAAAATGCTTTTCCTAAAAATATTAAATTTGACCATTCTTGCCATTAAAAAAAAACAAGTTAGCTTTGTATCCTCAGAGCAAATAGAGAAAGAAATTTGATAAACATCTGAGACGATGGAATTTAAATACTTTTAAGCATATACCAAATTTCAAGAAGTTTTTATGAATAGTGTTTATAATATTTTTATATATATATATTTATTTAGAGCTTGACTCACTGTTATGGAAAATAATCTTCTTTTTCCAAGAAAAAAAAATGCTTCAAATAAAACTTACAGCCTGGTTTTTACAAAAAGAGAATTTATATTCTAAACAAAGTTAAATTGAATTAACTAAAAATTGTTGTCATTGAGGTTATTTAAAAAAATACAGTTAAGTATATTTGTGTATTTTTTTGCTACTATATTTTGAAATATCGACAAAATTTTAGAGAATTATTAAACTTAATTCTTGAAATATTTTTCATAAATTTTATTTAAGAAATGTTCCAAAAATACGGGTGCCCGTATTCGGGCATTGAAATCACCATAAATAAACAGTAGTTTTTTTGGTAAAATTGTAATAAATTTTTAGTTACTGTCAATTTGGTAGTATTGCAAAATATTTCATTCTGTAAATTTATTTTCACGCATCATTGCTTCCGGATCAATACAACCGGAAATTCTGAAACTGCAATTCTCAGGAGCATTTCCTGCTTCCAAAAACCGAATTGTTTTTGGTTTACTTAGTTGCAGCAATTACTGGGGTAAAAAAATTCTTATTTCTTGTGTTTGGAGTGAAAAGTGAGGCATTCGTTCCACTTGGTGCGCGCTTTACTTACGGAGATGGTGGTAAGGGTGAAAAGGAGCAGGGAGGAGTATACGGAGGCACACATGTCTGCAATTCACATCATCATGCGCCACTCACTCGCCCGTCCGCGCCCCAGCGAGCTTCGCGAGACACTGAAACTGAAACAACAACACTCGCACTTTACTCGCAACGACTGCAATCGACCGGAGACGTTCACACTTGGATGCCTTCACCCGGAGTCGCTCTGGTACGGGTGGAGCCTCCTCTTAATCCCCCGCAAAAAGGGTAATTCCGATTATTTGTGGTCGTCTCAATGTCAAACGATGATGAGAAGAAGATGTTGCAATGCATGAGTTGTGCTTTTGGCGAATTGTGGTTTTCGACCTTAATGGTCATCCAAAGGGGTCATGACTCAATCTGTGATCAAGTGTAAAGCCGGAATTGTCCATTGCGAAAAATTGAATCCGCGTTTTGTTCAAAAAAAAATTGCACTGAATCCAGTGTTTCAAGTTTTACCGCCAGACCCATAACAAGAAATAAGAACTGACGCTGTGCAAAAATTTTGATTGCTAACATTATTTAGCGTAATTTATGTTTTTGGTAAAATAATTTGACTGTTGGTTGGTGTTTTACTTTATTTTTTCTTCTCAGTGGTCATTGCAAAGTCTGGTATTAGCATTGGCCTTTTCGTCGTTTACTCTTTTATTCTTTTAGAGAAACTGATGAAAATATTATTTTTCGCATTTTAATAACGTTTTGTACACTTTTGGATGTCTAGAAGTTTATTTTGATTAATTTTGTAAGTTATAATTAAAGATAACGAAAAAAATCTTGCCAACTGCGTGAACAATTTAAATCAATTGATAAAAGACTAAGTTTTGGATCTTTTTTTATAAAAAAATTAATATCTAAAACTAGAAATAAAAAAAAACAGTTTTGAATTCCAAAATTTCAAAAATTTGTGATCTGTAACTTTTACAGGTTCCTACTCGTAACACTATTAAAACTTATGAAGTTTTGTTGAAATCAAAGATTAGGGGAAAGATAGTTTTAATTAAACACTAACGACTTTTGTTTCAGCCAACAAATGACAATTACCCACAAGGATTACCCAACAATTTTTATCGCAAGATCAAAATTATTTTTTATCAGAAATAACATTTAAATTTTATTTTTTTCAGCAACAATTCTTTTTTCACATCAATTTTTATACAGGGCTAACCCAGAGCTCCATAATTTTTTTCTTGATTCCTTTTTATTTTTCGAAAAAATTATCAACATTTCTGTTTACAAAATGGCCCACAAATTCTATATTGTCAAAAAGCAATAAAATATTATAAAGAGTGAAAAAATCGAGTTATTGCCATTTGTAATTTGTTTTTTTTTTTTTAATCGTTTATTACAATTTTGGATCTCTAGAAGTTCTTTATGAATATTTTTGTAAGTTATAATTAACGATGACGGAAAAAATCTTGCCAAATGCTGAAAAATTTGAATCAATTAATAAAAGACCAAGTTTTGGATCTTTTTTTATCAAAAAAATAATATCTAAACCTAGAAATAAAAAAACCCTTTTGAATTTCAAAATTTCAAATATTTGTGTTTTGTAAATTTTTCAGTTTCCTACTCGTAACAGTATTAAAACTTATAAAGATACATAATTTTCAATATTTTGTTGTTTAATATATTTAATTCAATTTAAATCTAAATTGTCTTGAAATATTCAAGAAAAAAAATTGTATACAGAATTTCTGTATTTCTTTAAATTTATAATCTAAAACAAAAATAAACACTAAAGTGTATACAGGATGTCCCAAAAACAGCCACAATACAACCAGTAAAAAAATGTCATTCTGAAAATAAAGTTGAAATGTTTTTTTTTTTCTATTACCTACGAGTTGATGTAAGATAGTTTGCTTTCGAAGCATCCTGTATTTTTTTCCAAAAAGTTGATATTTTTTCATAAATTTTTTTTTACTTTTGGATTACATTCTTCATGAGAAAAAAATTAATAAAAGACCTACAAAATAAATTATAACTTTGTATTTTTTATATGATATTAAACTTTTGATTTCTCAAAAACACTGTTATCTATCTTTTAAGGTAATTAAAATTTTTATAACTGAAAACAACACAGAACTCGCGACTCAAGTAAGATAAGATACCAGGAACATGGAAAAAATGTTTAAAAAATTCTACCTGTCAAAAAATTTGACATTTTTTTATGTCTATTTAATGATGCTGATGATATTGTATATGTTTTTTTTTTATAATTATTTACTAAAAGTACAAAAGTTTTGCCCATAAACGCCACAAATAACATGAAACACAGTTACAATTTAGGACGCAGCTTTCTTGTTTTCTCTTCTAATAGCCTGTAGTAAAAAAAATTAATTTTTTAATAGAAATAGAGTCAAAATGCAAAATTTAGGCTCTCACAACTTCGAAAGTTTTATAGATAATTTTTTTTAACAATTGTTTCATGTTTTTGGTATCTTACTTTATATGGCAGTTTTCCCCGGAACACGAGTTCTGGCGCACCCTGTATTTAGCTTAAGTCTCATATTTTCATATAAAAATTTAAAAAATTTTTAAATTTGTTTTTTTTATTGTTTTATGCACTTTTAGATCCATTGAAGCTTATTTGAATCAATTTTGAAGTTTTTAAATTTTTGACATTTTTTTTTTTTTGGATTTTCAGTACCTACCTGGAACGGTTCCATTGTCAATAACTTCGTAATTATTGACGCTAGCCATTTATGTTTGGCAAATTTAAATGGCTAACGTCAATAATTTAAATTTAATTTTCTATCAAAGAAAGAAAAATTCATTGTTCTACAATAAACAGTTATCGAAAAAATTGCTGATAAAATCAAAAATATAAATTGGGCTACTACTTATAACTTCTAAACTTCTGCGAATTTTGCAGTTTTCTCGACGCCAATCGACTCCCCGAAACGTGAGGAGTAAAAATTTACAGTCGTAAAAGTCGTCCAACCGAAATTGACGAAATAAAAATGAGAAAAAATACTTGAATCGTTTTTCAGTGAAATTATTGATAATACTAAAAAACTTCCAAATAAGTCGGTTATGTTAAAACATCGGAATTTGTTGCTTAATACAAATGGTTAAAAATTATTTGTTTTCCTGTCCAAGAAAAACGCTTTGACGACCTTTGACCCAGATTATTTGTGACACTTTTACCCACACTTACAGATAAATATGTTACGTAAAATGGTACGAGATTTGTTTTGTAAGTATCCGAAATATAAATTTTGACAATAGCATTATTCTTTCACGATTTATTAAAGAATTTCTAATTTCTCATAATTTTTCGGCTAAATTTTTTTTCCAAAAAATAAATAATAAAGTTTTAATGCTTAGTAAATTTGCACACAGTGACTATAAAGAGGTCAGAATAAATTTGCCTAATATAATGTGACACAATAAAATCGTGAACTACAAAGATAAAGAACAGAGCATTGTAAACACGTCAGCATTTTATAGCAACTATTCAAATTCTTTTTACAATTCAGTGATAGTAAAACGTCCTTTAAACAATAATTTATCACGAATACAGGTGAAAAAGTGAAACGTGCTAACGTGTAGTTAAATTGAGTTATCAAACGATTGTATTTTTCGAACAAATTTCTGACCTTGCCAATAACTCGGACGTTGTACACAATAGTAGCAGCATTGTAAATCAGTATTAATTAACAAATTTTATAGGACGCTTCCCTCTAACGACAAAGCTAAACCTGTTCAAGTAGATCGCTAATTAAACCACTTTTCTTGTCAATTAAGAAACTTTACAATTCTTTGTCTACGAAACCGAGTTGTAGGAGGAAAGCATGATCATGCAGCATTGTGCACAAATCACCCTAATTAAAATCAGCAAACATATTTATTGCATTTGTTGACCATTTCTTATCTAATGATAAATTATTGGGCTCAATTTTACAATCCAACTGTTGTAAATATTGTACTCTCGCAGCAGGTCACAATTCCCTGTGACTTATGTGATATTAATGGCGCTACAAGCTAAGGAGAAAATATTCCTGCCAAAATGTCGCCTTTACCAATGTTATTGTTATTTATAGCGTCATTGGCGAGGCTGTTTTCATTCGTATTTATGAATTTAAGCGGATTCTAGTGCTTACTTGAAAATTCACGTCAGATTACATGCCCAAATGGAGCGTTAATGCAACTTTACTTTCTTTGCAATTAGTGAAATTCGATGTAAGTTTTAATTGAAGATGTGTGCTACTAATTACCGACAAAATAAGTGCGGGCACTCACCAAACTAATTAATTTTTATGGAGAATTATTACACCCATAAAATGACCATTGGAAAATTCGTAACTTAACAAGAATATTAAATGTTTTCAGATAGACAGTTTTATTTCTTCGCATTTCACAGAATCCAATTAAATCATCTTTATTTTTACTCAACATCCTTTTTCTTATTTTTTTTTGCTGGTGTACAATTTATATCTTACCTTTTTTGAAAATGTCTGTTGTTTTAATGCAATATTTCTTGTAAAATTGCAGATTTTTATAGTTTTTTTCTGTGATTCTTCTTGTTTTTGTTTCTTCAGCCTCTAACACTATCTATTTTTAAAGTTTATTATTTGTCAATTTGCTCCAAATTTTCTTAGTCTTACCTCATTTAGTGCAATTTTTTGTTGTTTATTTACTGTTTCTTTTTCCAACTGCTTCTACCTTTCTATTATTCGTGTTTTAATTTTTTCTATTGTTTCTACCCAAAAAAAGTTGTCACTCATTACTTTGTTATCTTTTCTTTAAACAATGATTTTTTGACCTCTTTTTCTTTAAGTATAACCTGCTGTGGGTTTTAATTAACAATGAATATTTTAATATGAAATAACCAGTCAAAAACTATAAAATTTTAATCAAAAGTACAAAAGTGAAAAAGTAAATAAACATAATTTACTTAAAATTTTATTTTTACAAGTCCGTGAAAACTAATTATTCTGTTGATTTTAATACATGAAGAATCAGAAAGCAATACAAGTTTTCTCCTTATTTGTCGTTTAAATTTGCTGT